GCTTTATGAATGCCAGCCTTCTAGCGTTACCCAGAGTGTGCTAGATACAGTGCAAATGTGCAGAAAGGACTAGGACCTGAAGCACAGTACTCACAATCTAGGATAAATCAATAGTAAGCCACTAGGTAGAACATAACAGTAAAAGTATCAACATAGTAGTAACAGGGTCAACTACAGCCTATTCCCAGATTTCCCTGAAGTTCTGCACCTGCCACGTGGCTAATCTCTACCTTATAACACCAGAACACAGGAAAGAAGTGAATAGTCTCGCAGGCCAGCTCAGGAGCTACGCTATGGACAGATACTCTGCTTTTAACATGCAGACAATTGTAAGCAAAAAGAAGTGTCTTTATGGGTGGGGTAAGTCTAGCTATTCATCTGTAGCAACTGACTTCCTGACTTTCTCTATCCTTCATTTACTTACTATTTTTCACTAACAGAAGTAGCTACAGTGATGACTGAAGGTCCTTTACAAGTTATGCAACTCTATCATTCAACATGGACCAATGCTCTGTACTAATGGTACTCTCGACTATGCCTGCGTACCAAGCAATTTTGTAGAAGATAGTGCTCTGAAAAGAGCAGGAGAGCACTAGTTCCAAACTTCTCCAATTTCATGAAGTTGGATAAAATAGAAGATGGTAGAAGTTAAAAGCAGTAGCTCTCTAGTCTTCTAAATTTATTATGAATTATTGTAATAAATCTTTCACTGTCTTAAATAATTTTTAAAACATTTCATTTCTAAAGTACTTATTAGGATAACTCATTATAAATTATAGGGTGTGCACAGATATGTATGCATCTCATAGGGCAGAGGTCTAGAAAATGTTAAGTACAATGAAGAAGGTTGACAGAGGTGTAGGAGGAATAAAATGAAGCTGGTTATACCTTTATTTTGTAGCATCTTAACTTTCCCATTAACAATACTTGAATTTTCACAGTTTTGAAAGTTCCACCTGTGCACAATACAAGAATGTGTTCAGAGAAAATAGGGGTAGAAAGACTTAAACCCCCTTTGCCAGCCCCCTGAATGAAGCACTACGAATAAAACCAGATGTTGATACTGTTCCACAGTTGATCACTGAAGCATGGTGGGAGGTTGATGTAAAGAGGAGACTGGAGAGGGGAACTGGGCAGCATCAGTAGCGTTGTCAGCCGAGATACCCCTTACTGAAAACACAAGGAACCAGCACATAAGAGAAGAGAAAGCAAAGATAGGAGGAAGAGTGAAAAAAGACCATGATAAGCAAAGGTCAGTTATTACAAAAATGCTGTACCCCTGTATGCCAGGCCTTGGTCAGGATTTGCTATGGGAGTGCAAACTACAGAATGCAGTATTCTGAATTTATATCCCAGCTGAGAGACCACAGCAAAACAGAAATCAAACCTCTGAATACATTGATAGATTCACTGACCACATTCTGGTAAAACACGAAGGGAAATGCTGCTATAGTATAGGAGTGTTGAAAAATACGATCCAATTGTGACATGGTTTTCTAAGATATGCTGCACTAAAACATGTGAGCTCCTTCCATGTAAAAACACGCATCAGCTGAGGTCCTACCCACAGATAGTACATTTCTAATGTGTAGGACTGGGTTGCTGAGTTCATACCTCAAAATCATATATCATCTTCACAATCTTTATATCAAACTTCTAAACAGAACACAGCTGTCTAGACTTCCAGGTCACCACAGAAGACCACAAACCAATCCCTGAAGGAAAATAGCTAAATATATATAATCTTAATAGGGGGCTCATTTTTTATCTAAGTTAGCATTTGGATTAAGAAGGAACATGAGAAATACCAGTCCCAAGAATATTCTTTTAAAATAAGGATGCTAGATAGGACTGCTAAAACTACATTCAGATATGTAGGACTAAAACACATTAGTGTAAAAGGTATGCTTTTATTAGTCATTATTTGGCATGATTTCTGAATTCCAAGATAATTTTAATATGATTCCTTACTTGTGACAATGAAGTCTGCTCCATGTAAAAAACAAATAATACCGAAACCTATGTACTGTAAAAAGTATATTAGGCAACTTTTCTGCAGTGCCTTCATCTTATTCCTTACTGAAGGAAAATACTGCAATATAAAAAGTCAGACTCATACATTTGAATTTTCGTGGAAGAGGAACAAAGCAAGTAATCTTTGAAGATTAAGTCAACCTCTGGCTGCCTTGACAATGAACACTGAGTCAATCTTCCCATTAAGACAGGGTGTATACGACAAATATGCTCTACTTGAAATGTAAAATTTAATTCCGGCATGATCACTTCAGGGACCAGTTCTGCAAAGTACCGCAGCCATGGCAGGGCATACAATGGCAGCATAAGTAACTAGACACTACTGTTAAACACATTTTAAACTCTACTGTACAATAGCCTTTGTCTCAGTAAAGCTATTTTAACCACAGACCATGTTTGTTCAAGCAAGTTTTTCTACCTGTTTTTCCACTGAACCCAAGCAACTCATTCAGTGACTAATTTATTTGGTACATTTTCATCTGTTGTCATTCATAAATAATTTATAGCTTTAGCAGATGTATTGCTTTTGCTTTTACATGTGTTTTAGGTTTTTTTGTTTCTTTACAGAGTTCTTTGAAAACTGTTCATAGGCCATGCTCAAAAAAAAACGTCAATTTTTCAGCTGTGGACTTCTGATTTGCCTGGGTAACACTCGGTGTAGTTTTGGTAGTTTGAAAAGAGTCACTAGCCTATGACTTGTAACTATAAATCACACAACTACCAATTCCTCTGAGTTCAAGCAAAGCCACAAACTATAGTTTCTCTCTGGTCAAAAGATCTGGGAAAAGAAACGATGGTGAGAAGAACTTCTGAATATCTTACTTAGATGAATGGCGTTGGAGAGCAGAGAGGAAGGTAGAAAGCACGATACAAAAGAGGGGAGAAAGACGAGAAATACAGAAGGAAAGAAATCTCCCAGAAACCAGAAAGTTGCAGGAGAACTTTCTGTCATAATTCATTTCATGTAAACCTGATCTTTACTGATGTTCTGCCACAGGATTCACATCAGGCTGGTGATACATTTATTTACGCTTCAGGGAGTACAGCCTGTCTTAGTCCTGACTGCCCCTTTCTGCTCACAGAGTTTATCCCTCACCTCAGTACGATATTTTATCACTTTCTTCACCTGAAATAACACACTCAACTCTAGTTACAGAATTTAAAATAGTAAGTTAAAACATTTAAAGCAAATATTCACACACACATTCAAATGAAATGGAAGTCTGAATGCACAAAACAGCCTCCGTAGACAGAACTTGTATACACACCTCCTATTTTTTTCGTGTCAAGCTCAAAGCAGCTAAAACACTAATGCATTTTCATTATTTTAAGAACTGTATAAACACACTGAACTTTCATTATTTGCATATTTGAACACACTACTACTTCTTGATCCTAGTAGCCATTTTCCTATGGCTTTCCCACTACCCTATTTATCTTTCCTGACAACCTTCCTGGAAGAGCTTTTAGTCACAGCTTTTCTGTAATTCTACACACATAATTATTGCACTTGCTCAGTTGTGCCATATGTAGTTGTGGTTATATGTGAAAAGGTGGGAATTTACACGTGCACACACATTCACTCTTACACACCATTAGTAACTCTTAAGTTTGTTCAATATGCTAATTTAATTATTCGTTTAATCTGCCAAACTTTGCCATTAAATTGACTTCAATACAAAATGTAATGTCTCACTGAAATAAAAAAAATCCAAACATCCAGAAGTTTGAAGGAAGTTGATTGATTTTCAAGTGTTTTATTTAAAACATACATATATACTAACACCTAAACTTATTCCCTTCAGGTCAAAAACTCATCCCGTTGAAATGAATGGCAAATTTAGGTCAACAGGCAAAAGTTCAAACCTCAGTGCTTTGAAATAGTAAACATTTTTTATCAGGCACTTAAAAAATACAGGATTTACTTTAAAAATAAATTAAATTCAATTATATATTATTGTCATTCTATCTGCAAGACAGATTCACCTTGTGGTTTTTGTGTTTGTGGGTCTTTTTTTTTTGTCTATAAAGCTTTCTGGACAATCAGGTAAAAAACTGTCAACTCAGCTGAATGACAAGAGAGAAATAAGGGACTAAAACATGAAAACCAGAAATATTGTCCGAACACAACTGGTTTCAAGCACTTTGACTGGATTCAGAAATCCTAGAAAGTCAGCTACACCATCCAAACGTTCACTTACATTTAAGCAACAAATCCAAAATGTGCTATGAAGAGGAATTCTGCATGAAAAATTACCAACAAGGAACACACTCTCATTACCAGCTCTCTGCCTTTCCTTCTCCCTGCTCCCCAAGTGCATGGGCAGCATTACCACGATAGAAACTCCTTTGATAAGCAGTATAGCTGTTTCCTTTCCTTTCTGAACATTTTGTGTACTGCACAGCACAAGAAAACTGAAAAAATGAGTGTTATGCCATGATGTCATTGCCGACAAGATCACTGTCGAATTTTTACTCTGAACACTGGATGTTGTAAACATTTGTATTTAATTCAAGAAATGATGCACCCTGCCACTGTACAGACAAAACCCAGAAAACGGCACCTCGCTAGGTTTTTTTGCAACTTATGCATGTGGGGTTTTAACATCTTTTTATTTTTTAACACATTTACTGCCATCTCCTGGTACTTAAAAGGTAATAGTGTTTATGCTATTTAACAGCACTGTAGTAGCAGCAGTAGCAAATGCTGAAATGCCAAAAACTTCTCAGAAATGTTTTCCAAATATTGATGTACTTTTTATGCTGCTGTCTTTTATTCTGGAAATGGTGAATATTATTCTGTGGGCACAAGCTGGTAAAAGGTTCATGTAGCTTACCTTTGTCTGGAAGCAGCAGTAAAGTTGCGTTAGGTACGGATGTTTCCGTGCTAATGCCAGAATTCTCTTTTCTGTCATTGTACAGTCTACATCATCATCTTGAAGTATGACATCTTTCTTCAAGACTTTCACTGCGTATACTTCATCTTTTCCTTTCAGCTCAGCTAACATTACCTAGAACAAAGAGAAATTCTGTTTGCATATGAACGACAGACACCATAACGCAGGGTTGCATATGAGTTTGACTGCACTGCAAATCTAAGGACAGTTACATACTTGCCTGAGTGAAGTTGTGGGTTTATAAAATCAAAAGTAAAGCAAGGTGGTTTTAGAAAAAGACACCTCTGGTACTCTTTAAATTTGAAACAGCCAGTATCTGTTTTGTTTGTTAGTTAAGGATGCAGAAGATCAAAAGTTTTTAGCCCCTCATTCACATATCTTAATGAGTGCCTATTCATGAGATCTCAAAAACTAAATATGAAGGAAGTTGATACAGAACAGAAATTTATTTCTCACTTTTATCTCCCACTTTTGGTAGTGAGAATTGTGTGTGACAAACTCAGTACACAATCCCACATACCATTCTGGCCACTTTAAAGTTGTTGATTTTAACTACTACTATTGTTTAAGGTTCAAGTCCTATATTCTGTTTAGGTCAGTTCTGGCTTGGAGCCAGGGTAATCTTCAGAGAAAGGATTAGAAAACAGGGAGACAAAAGAACTGCTTCAGCCCTGTCTCCCTGCATCTGCGGTTCCGTGTATCACGAAAGGAAGAGTGTACTTGTGAAACAGACTCACATTTCAGTCCTTCTCTTTGATTCCACAGTGCACAGCACTATGAAAAGAAAAATCTACAAGCCCTGTAAAGAGAGCAATGTCCCTTCCACCTTCATCAATTCCCTACTGTGGGAACCTATCTGGTGAGTTACTCCTTTGCTGCGTGCGTGGTATTTTGGGCAGCTCTTTAAGCCTCTCGCACTCGTCGTATCTGAGTGGAAATGCTTGGGTTCTGCTTCCTCCAGGACTGAACACAACCACTAAAGAAAAACAAGCACACAAACTGTTCTGTGAAATAAGTAAACTTGAACTGGGTATTATCTAGAAAGGGAGTGAACTTAGAACTCCACAGCATTACTCCTGGGCTGAATTTTCCTCCTTGGCCACAAGCAATTATCTTGCTGAACAGTGTGTATGTAACTCTATGCATTGTCTTCATTATCAATATCCTGAAATAGTGGAACATCGACATTGTGTTTCAAAAGGCTTGACCCTAATTAGTGAAGTGAGCTAAAGCACAGAAAATGCCAGCTGATCAGGGAGCTGATATTCCTGATCTGTGGGGTAAAAGCTGCTTTTACCCAATGGGTAAAGAATGGAAGGAAACCTCTGGGGTAGAAGCACTTTCTGAATGTCACCATGAACACTTTCAAAGCACTACAGTCAAAAAAAGCCTGCACACCAGGAAGGAAAAAAAAAAAAAGGTACCCACCTTGCCAAAGCTGCCTTTCCCTAATACTTTGATGAAGTTGAACTCTTCGAGGCCTATTCGCTTGGTCTGGGCCTGTTTGACCTCCCCATTTTCACCATTCTCCCCAGTTTTGTTAAGCTGGTTGTCTGTTGACGTTGTAGCTGTTGCCCTGTGTTCCTCTCCCCGATTGTCAAATGATAATGCTTTCCTAATGTTGTTTTCCAACTCTTTGATTTCTGTGGAAATGTAAGAAAGTGTTCATTTTAACCAAACATTAGAGAAACAGCCTGTGTCAGTCTGTATCGGTTTTGGGAAGGAACATTCATCATCTCTGAATGCTGTGCAGCGCGTTCTGCGGTTACGAATATGCAGTTAGCAAACTGCTTCTCCACCTTACAGTAATCAGCCAAAATCCTGCTCTAACAGGAAGGGCAGCCTTTTAAAATGCTCCTAAGAAAATGACATATCCAAAACTTGACACATCAGTTAGAAAAGTGGCCAAATAGTTGTTTTAGTGACTTTAGGTGTTCCTGTAACACAGAAAAGTACTTTGTTTTGAATACCCCTATCTTCCTGCAGCACTTACTCATCTTCCTGCTTAAGTATTTCAGAGTTGTATCTTCAAAAGTTCAAAGGATAGTTGGGCGTCCCAGTCCTAGAAGTCAACATGAATGGAGCATCGTGCTCAGCTCCAGCTGTTATCAGGGGCCTGCCAATAAAGTATTTGACCACTTCCTAGTGCTGTTTCAAGCAGCAATTGTGTAACTCTGCTTCATGGTTCTGAGGGCTTCTCAATGCTAAACACAGCGAGTCCTGGTGACCTCAGGGTCTGCCTCAAGCTCGTGCATAGCACTCCTGCCTGATGGCCTTGGAAGCAACAGTTTTACTGGACAGCTATAAAAGTGAAATTTAAGAGAGAATTTAGACAAATTCTTTGTTCTTATTTTAAGCAAAACATCTGTTACTTAATAAATATCATTTAACTGAAATGCTGTCTGTGAAACAAAAGGGTTGACAAATTTAAATCAGTTCTGGACTGAGAGTCTTATTACCACGGAGCTTTGGATGTCTCTTCCCCAAAAATAAGGGTGAGGAATTTCTCACTTGTAAGGAATTTCAAAGAATTTGACACAAAAGGATCTGTCTCGCTATGTGTTGGTGTAAAGATTTTTCATTCATCAGCTTCTACACATGATGGTACATAAGATACACCACAGACTTCTGATTTTTAAAAACATCAATCGGATCAGATTCAAGAAGTGCTGCTGACATACATGTTCAGCTCAATCAGGCTGTTCAGCTCAATGGTATCAGGTCCTATCACTGAAGATTAAAATATTTGTCTCCACATCTATGCATGAAAAAAAAAAATCACTGAAGGGAAATGCAGTTTTATGAAGCCGCTAGAGACACCACAGACATGCTAGCATAGCCTAACCGGACAGAGAGTTCTTTTATCACAAACGCTCAACGTAGAATTGCAAGGAGGCAATTTTATCTCAAAAACTTACTAACAGATAGAGGCTTTTCCATAAAGGTGTTCTTAAGTTCTGTGGTACCATTTAAAATGTTCTCTCTCTTACAATAGAATATATAAACTCCTTACATAAAAGTATTTGGTTAGGCAAGGACTTACCTGGTAAGCTTCACAATATTTTAAGATAACCACTTTATATTTTTCCCTTTAAAAGCTACTTAATTTCACAGATTTAAACAAAATGAGAAGTAGGCATTTTAAAAAAGTTCTTGCACTTTCTTAAGTGCTTCATTTTCCGGTGGTAACTACTTCATGGATTTGGTTCCACAAAGGCTGGGGATGATAGCGTTTTTCACTCCTCATAAAGAAGGAAAATATGTGACTCTATATATCAGTTACAAAATAAAAAGAGATATTCAACCTTGATCACATGGCGAAGTTGGTGCTGACTTTGACCTATCTTCTTCTGATGATGCGCTTCCAGGAACCGGTTGTTGAGTCTCTGCACCTGCAATTAGCTAAGAACAATTCCAAAAGGGATACTCAGCTATGAGATTCTCCCGTGCCAAGAAGAAATGAAATTTAACAACATTAATTTGCAAGTATAAGTATGAAGGAAAGTGAACATGTTCTACCCCTACAGATTCTCATGGGCAGAACCTCAACTGTACAGTGGACAGCATCGTATGAAATAGAGACCATAATATAAACAGAAGAAGAACCAGCAATTTAAAGAAAAATAGGTTCTTAAGATGAAATAAACATAATCACATAGCCAGTGAGTGGGAAAGGTCTGAAGAGCCACCTTGAGCCTGCGTAGAAATCTATCCGTTAAATACACCTCACTACAACAAGCACCAGCAAGCAGTGACAACTAACTCATGCCGTAACAGTCACAAAACAATTAATTTATTCCTGAGGTTTTTTATGTTTCTGTAACATTTTAAAAAAATGTGCAAGGGATCCAACTGTGCAGTGATCAGGAAAATGAACAGAACTGTATGTCAAGGTTTTAAGAAACTAGGGTAAAACTTGCCTGTTTCTGTAAGTGAGAGCAACGGGTCTGTTGCCACAGTCATGCAAATAGAGACAGAAAGCGTGGCCAAATTCTGATCCAGGATACGTATTACAAATCCAGAATACCTCCATCAGCTTTGGGTATACTTGAGGTGACCTGTGCTTTTTATTTCTAGAACAGACTAGTTCTTCCTGCAATAGTGATGACAACTCTGGAACGGTCATCTAGCAAACAGCTCCTCTGTATGTGAGTCATCACAATGGCTCATTCATCAGCATTTACAGTGTTACAGTGTAGTGCTGTGTCTCCACCAGTCAAACATCCAAAGTAATTTCTGAGCCAAAAACACATTTAAGCTTTATGAACTGTTGTGTCAGACACCGTCTTCAAATCTCCTTGCGCAAAATTAAAAAAGGAAGATCCTTCCAGACTCTGTACAGACTCCAGGTTTGCAAAATAGTAGCAGGTCAAAATACATTTCATATCAATATTCAGAATAGATGATTTGCACTTACAATTCAAAAGCCAATTTCCTAGTTGTGTACTGACAATAAAAAACGCAGGACAAGAGAGTGGGATTGAATCCCAACTAGTAAAGTTGCAATACAGCCATACTTATTTCATGTCTTAAATGACACCACATAGTAAAATTACCTTTTTCCTCCTCTGCCCACTATTAGTGATCTTATCTGGAGTGACTCCAAGATCTGCAAGAACTTTAGCTATGCCTCTAGCATCTACTCCACAGTTTGGTGCCACATTTGTTTCACAGCGTCGATGTACATTCATCTTGCAAACTGCAATGAAACGTAACACAATAGCACAAAATTAAATACTATCTTGGCATGCATTTGTCTTACTTAAATAAGACATTATTGGTCCTACCAATAACTTTTTCAAATCAATATGGTTTCAGTAGAAAAATACTTAGCTGGATTTGCAGTGACACTTGAATGCTAACATAAAATTATTAACCTGTTTACCACTCTCCTGCTATGATAACGCAGAACAGCGCTTTCACACAGTACCCAGAACAGACACAGGCACAAATGAACATATCTAATGATCTTGTAATCTTAAATAGAATTTGAATTTGTAGGAACATCCTTCGGAGTTTGGATTTTTGCAGTCTACCTCTGCTCTCATCCTGACAGCACAACATCAGCTCCTCACCTATTATTGCTCCTTACTCTATTTTACTCATGTAGATTAAGTCCTAAAGTAGGCAGTCATAAAATCGAGTGGTTTAAGTCTTAATAAAAGTCTTTTTCTTCCTTTAGATGGCAATCCAGTTCCAGTTACTAACTCTGTCTCTTAAATACCATCTCCTGAAACAAGGATAGCAGTAACAGGAAAAAACCCTGACACTGCTTCCAGACTACAGGGTAGGGGGCAGAACTACACCCCATTAAAAATAGCATAGCATGGATTTGTTAGGAGCAGATGACATATTTTATCTTAGACTTCACTGCCCTCTTGTGGAACAAGGCATAAAGCAGGCAAAACTGAGAGTGTAATTAAACACTACCTCAAAAAAGTGTGTATTTATAAAGGTGCCTTTCATTATATTGTCAATCAACAATGCTCTCGCCTATAAGCCCTAAAGAGAGAATCCGCATTGACTATATACAGGCTCCGTATCTGCGGCAGCAACCACACACTTTAGAAAGCAGGTGTCTTGCCTTTTCAAGTATGTTGCAGCTCCCAAGAAAAGCACAAAGAAATGGGTACACATGGGATTTTCAATGCATGTGTATTCGGTGATGAAAACTCAGTGGCAAGTAAAATGTTTAACCTGGGATCCGTAACAGTGGACACTGAGGAACTGAACAGCTTGAAACACAGCAAGCAGGAACACTTGTACAGTCTAAGTGCATGAACATATCTTGTAAAAAGCAGCACAAGAATAAGCAGTGAAAAAACCAGAAGAAGAATAAACCCCTGGAGCGCACTTTTCATGGTGTTAATAACAACACTGGGCGAGCAAGTACCTCTCCGAAGAAGGGAGCATTGTTTGGCACTTTTGAGAGAAAATGGCATTACCAGCTCAGGCGAGCCCTAGATTCTATGTAGACCATGCTGCATTTTTGTAGGGATTAATGTTATGAACATGGAGAAAGCAACATAGGCTCTCTAAGCTATTGTTGCTATGTACCTGCTACCAGTAAATTCATACACAATAACAGTGTTATTTTCTACGGTTAAGAGGAAATGAACATCTATGGTACTTGGGAGAGAATATGACCGTGAACTAATATATTCACAGATTAAGTGGAGAGAAACTGAATTAAAAAAATCAAAGAGGAAAAAAAAAATCGGATTTAACTGAAAAATCTTCTCTGACTATATCTCCACCATAATTAAGATAGCATTTGAACAAAATCTTTAACAGCAGTAAAGTAACAGTATTTAGAGTCAACCTTTTATCACTGCTCACTAGCTAGAATCACAGGGGAAGGCTTGAACTTCAGAACACTCTCACCGGGTACCACTTTGCCCCAAAAGAAATTTTGTTTGCTGTTGAGAAGTGCACATAACGCGTTTTTTGTATTTATGAGCACGGATCTACCCATTCGTAAAGGTGCAACAAAAGGAAAATGCTTCTATTTCCAGCAGGTCCTACTTTCCAAGAATCTGACAATTTTCATTACATCAGCCCACTAATTGAAGTATTTTACTCACTATTTCTAAAATATTACTTCCCTTTGCAAGTGTTTGTACTGTTTTCTGCCCCTTTTAGAATGTATAGATTTGTTTGGAAGAAGGAGATACAGAACCAACCCTTTCTGTTAGTCAGCTAAAACGACAAGAATGCACCTTCCAGCAGTACGTTCATACACAGTTACTGTGCAGACTACACCGTCCTGCTGCAGAACATGGCGAGTCCTCTGCCTTCTGGAACAGAGGGGTTAGACAGACCATCACACAGGATGATTTATCTAGATATTGGAATCCCTCATTGTCTGGATACGGGCACACGGGACCGGTTCTGCTCACCCAAGCCAATAGACAATAGCAATTTTTGAAGATGATATTCAAGGGAAAAGTAGCTGGAATAATGATGTTTAAAAAGTTTAACCACCATCACCACAAACCTGAAAACACAAAGGCATATAAGCTAAAGGGACGTAAATTCTCACACTCCTCATTTTCTGTCAACTTCTAATTTCCTGTGTGGCAATAAACGTACACAGCAGCGAGTGCAAAATGTGTTTCTGCACCTCTGTCCTCTGCATCTGTTAGTGCCGGGTGTTGCAGACAGGGTAAAGGATCATTTTCTGACCTTGAGGGCAACGCCTACAGCCCGCTATTTACTTTCTACTCATTTGCGTGCATGCTGGAGAAGACAGGATATCTTTAAATCTTTCTGAGTCTACTGCACTCACAAAGCAAAAGACAAGCTCTGAAGTGGTGATCCTTACCTTTGCATTGTAAACCTTGTCTCAAAAGACCCCAGAGCAATGAACCACAGTGGTCACAGAAGGTGGGCACTTTGTAATTGTGAATGCTGAACTTGTGAGGCATGTTGACACTGAAACGCTGGGATCCCACTTGCTGCAAAAGGAGAGCACAGCATATTTCATTCTAATTAATTTCTGTATAACCAGTATGTGCCTAGGCCCTGCTATCTTTGGAAAACACACAGAATACAAACAAGTGAAATAGGTCTGTGTTCAGATGACGATCTTTGCATTAGCTCCAGAGCTGTTCTCTTTATTTGGGGAAAAGAGGGGAAGGGCTGCTGCTGTCCAAGAGATAAAGGCTGAAGACTACTTCCTAGTACTTCTGGGAACAACAAATATATAGCTATCAGGAAAGATCTCTTAATGTGGAAGGCAAGGAAGTCACTCCCAATTGTTTTAGGAGCAGGAGGCTGAACTAATACAAGACTAAGAAAGAGAAATATGTCACAGCCACTTTACCTTTTCATATTTCACTCTTCTTTACATCATGAAAATGACAAGGATAACCTGTTGTTTTCAGAGATTTTAAGGTATAACTAGGATGCCACTTCTAAGTTTGTATAGTGGCCACTGCAGAGCAGGAGATTTATTTCCACGTTTTTCCTTCCCCTTCCTATTGCCACTGGCTTCTCTCCAGCGATCTAGTACCCCTTCCGAACAATGAGAGCATTATGTCAGCAAAGCATGCAAGTCTCCACCAGTCTGGAGCCTGGGAATATAAATCTACACAAGGTTTTGTATCTTCCTGTGAATACTATGCAACATCAACACCAGCCAAACACAGCCCTTTATCACACTCCTATGCAAACGACCAAGTTTTGGATGAAAAATACTGGTCATGAACTGGATATTAAAGAATTCTTCCAATATGAAAAATGGCAGCAAATGGCACAGGGAGAATGAGATCAGTTAAGTGTCTCAGTCAAATTCCTACCAAAGTTGAAAGAGTGGCTTAAAACCATCATTACACACAACTCTGATTTATAACTTAAACTAGGTTTTTTCAGGCATATAAATGGAGGCTTTTAACAAATAAAACTAAGCAATGTACTTTTTCTGCATGGCCGGGGAACTGGGATCACCCACTGATGGCCTCACTAATTCTGTGGTTAACGGCAGTAGGCCCTTACTGTTGCACAAACCAGAACAGGACAGTGAGCGTTCATTAACTTTTCTGTTAAAACACAAGGAAAAAAACTTCTGTATAAGATAAAGCATTCACCAGTTACAGCTGAGGGTTACAACTGTTTAAAAAACCCATAAGCCCACTCCCCTTGCCATCTGTCCCCTATCAACACAGCCAGAAAAGCATACCCCAAAACTTGAGGAGTCTAAGTGAGCTGAACACAACAGCAGTCACATCGCTCCCTGGCATATATGACTGTCCACAGAAATCAACACTGATATGTGAACCAAGCCTAAAAGGGCCATCTTGGCTGAGGCAGACCTTTAACCCAAGTGACAGGATTGGTTTTTTTCTCTCACTACGGTTCTGAAGGCAGAAAATTTCATTTTCAGGTGATGTCTTCATCTATTTAAATGCCTGATAGCATGAAGCACGGATTGTGCTAATTCAAATACTACACAAAAGCTTGCTGGAGGTAGGGAGTAATTATGCTGGAAAACCTGCTAGCTATGCAGTACCTTGTGTTATCACTATCATCTTATACAATATCCATGGGTATTCTTCAACACATGGATGGCTTTTGTTCTACGTTTTGACAGTTTGAATGCAGTCTTTGTTGAGGTGAGACTTTGCAAGAAAACTCTGAGCAGTCTTTTATGTTGATGCAATATAGCCAAGCATACTGCCTACCCTACCAGCTGCTCATGACTCAGCCACACAAAACGCAGTTAAGGGATCCCATCCTGCTTCTTCTGAATTGAAATGACAAAACTCTTTATTAATTCAGAAATGGAGGATGTTAAAAATGAAAAGGAGTGGAAAAAGCTCACTGAGACTTTAAGCATTCAGATGTCATAGGAATTTTACTAATCAGAAATAAATTCCTGTATAACAATTCTCATGTAGATGAAACTGTTATGGTAATCTGTCATTCCAAAGTAAATGCTACATCACAGACAACCAGAAGGGCACAAGAAAGTCTATAATATTCATTGATTAAACAGAGGAGATGACACTACTTTGAACAGATGAAAGACAGAGTTTAATCTAGAAAATCTATTTTATAAACATTTACCTCATCATGAGTTTCCTGTTTTTTTAAGCCAGCACACTTCGTTATTATAAGTTCATGGCATCTCTTGTGGACTACACAAGTGCAAACTATAAACAAAAAACAGATAAAAGAAGGAGTTTTCATGAAGATTGATTTTAAGCAAAAGCTTCAACTCAGACGACAGAAATGTTGGGACTTGAAAGGCTGCAAGTGAGTGGAGAGTGGGCGAGTCCTATGAATTAAGTCTGACTTACAAAGGCAGAAGATAATGGACTCTCAAGAAACCAATGAATTTTAAGAGCACTAAAGCTTATCTGCCAAAATCTGAGTAGATAAAACTACAAATTACCTTCTGAAATATTAACCACATTTTTTCTCAATTTTCTACATATTTGATTTCTTTATCTGCTAAAGTCCATGATTTCCACATTAAATGAGACACAATGGCAAAACCAATTCTCGTCTGAAGAGCTTCCAGAGGAAGAGAGACATATAGATAACTCATTGTAAATGTCAAAGAACAGAAAAAAGTCTAACATTCTTTCTGTAACACATTATCATAAGTTGATAACAGCAAAATGTTTCAGGAGGCAAAAACGCTTTGTCAATATTCATACTGATTACTTAATCAATAAATAACATTTGCAGATATGACAGACAAGATTAAAAACTGCAAGGTCTATTATAGTGTAGGACTCAAGGTCATTAAGTGTAGAAAAAAAACCTTCAGAGTGAAATAACGAATCCCATTTTCTTCTAGCTTTGGTCATTGTCATAAGAAAAAAAAAAAAAAACAGAACTCAAAGAACATCTGCTGTATGTTAATACTGTAATTGTTATCATAACATGTAAAACCATTATTTGCATTTATTTATTTACAATGAGATTTCATCAAGTCTTTTGTAACTGAAAAATCATCACTAACTTGATTATTTTTACTTGTCAGATGAGAAGCAGAAAAACATCATCCCAAGACGTGACTGCATAAAAAATTAAGAGTACAAGAAACTGAGTTGAAAAAATGGAGTTGAAAACAAAGCACTTCTGCAGTCTTTGCTATAACTTCTCTAATAATGACCTCTATAATTATCTCATCTATTTAATTATAGCCTTTGCAATTACCTGGCATTTTTAAACGAAGAATCTTAATCAGAATAAAGTTTTCACAATTTTAAAATGCAAGAAGTGAAAAATGAAGAAGCCAACATCCACAGATATGGTCCCCTAGTTGGTTGTGAATCAAGGGATACCTAGCATCTGCTTACAGTGCTCTCAACTGTGCCCCTACCTCATGTAAGCTGCCCAAGACCAACAGTTTTGAAAAATCTTGTGACTGTGACTTACTGTAAAGACTATCTTCGGTGAGACAAACATTCTGATCAGCTTGTGCTAAATTCTTAACATTGTACATATACAATGCTTGAAGGAAATATCATTCATAACATAATACATATATTGAAACTGTCCAGTAGATTTTTCTCTTACCTTGACACTGGTATCCCTGTTTTCCTATTACACCCCTGAAAATAAAAGTGTTTTAGAAAATGAAGAATATGTATTTTCAAAAATGAAACACAGTTTTTCCTCTCTTTACTGGACATGCAGAAGTTTAAAAAGAATAGTTTCTTATAACTGCATGCCTAGACTGGGACTAGAAAAAAGTTGGAACCACATTTCAGCTGCATAACAGGTAGGACGACAAGCCATGAGGGGATTTGGAAGTAATGACATATTTACTATAATAAAATAGGCAAAGCCAAAGGGTACATAGAGAGAAGCCACAATCCAGTAAAATAGTCATTAAGCAGGCCTCCAATTAGACAGAAGATTGCATTTGCCAATATTGTTGCTTGAAATCATATTAACCTCAAACCTAACCTGCAGACATTTCTTAGGGGAATGTAGTTGAGTTCATGTACGATTCACATCATTTCACATAAAGAAAGACTGATTCATTACACACTCTTAAGAAATATTAATTATGTATCACATCAGACCTTGTGTACTAAGGTGCAAATCAGTTTCTGCAGGTAACTTTGGAAAACATAACCGGAGTTGCTAAAACATAACTCAAAACTGAATGTCTCCACCACTTTTCCCTCTGTTAAAAATATGAGTACTCAAAACTAATGTAAATAATTTCTAAAAGGCAGTTGTTGACATACACTGTAATAAGAAAGACCTTGTACACTGAGCACCCAAACCCCTGGGTCATTATTAGTCTAATATTCCCTTCCATTAACTTCAGTAGGATGTATAGGAGCTTAGCATCTCCCAGGAGGAAGATGGTAATATTGAAGCACCTGAAGAATTCAGTCATCTTGGCAAAACATATAGATTTAATATTAAGTCTAAATCTACACGTAGGCATCTACAGAACACAAGGCTGGCTCTGTACCTAGAATTTCTAGTGTGCACTAGACACGGAAAGCTTGAACTTTGTGGCTAAGAGGATAAAAACCACAAATACAACAAATTCTAACATTTGTGATGGAAGTTTAACAATCTTCCATTATCATCTGCAAAACTGATTACAGCTTAATATTAAAATGAAGAGGAAAAGAACTACCCTACGTCATTTATACAGCAAAACAGGAGGGTATGTTAACTCTCCAGCTCAAAGTCACAAAGAAAGCAAAGTCATACCATATAAAATCTCTGCAGTGTGAACAGTACGTTGGTTGTCTAAGATAGGTGGCCATGAACTTGTGTCCATTAACCTGATGTACTCTGCGTCGCACAGCGCCCTGCCGCTTTCTGGGGCGCATACGCTCCCGGAACACGCGCTCTTCATTGTCTTTGGGTGCTGAAACAGAGGAAAAAAATAATAAGCACTGGCTGTATCAGACACAAATAAGGGAAAAATTAAATGCAGTACGTAAGTAGATCTTCTCCAAAAATAAAACTAAACCTGTCTAGGTAGCAGTGCAAGATAACTTCCCTAAGTTGTGGGTAAATTATTCTTGTTTACCATCAATTAATAAAGGTCAAGGGTTTTCATTGCCTAGTACAGGAACTTCGATTTGTTCTGAACCTTTATCTGTAAATTCACACTAAGCTGGGAATAAGTGTTCTGCACTTTATCACTATCAAGCACACTGACAACCTCTTAAAGAGTAATTACACAGTTAGATTCTCCAAACAGCTCAGAGTCTCATTTCGGTTCATCTTCAGGAGGTAAAAAAAAATCCACCAAAAAATCCCAACATCCCCTGGTCCCTATACACTCCAAAAGTGCTGACAGAAGTGCAAAAAAGCTGAGTACAAATACGTATTATCAAGCAGAACAAAAATTCCATCCAGAACTGATTACTTTGTAGAATTCTGATTAAGATCGGAGCTTCAGGCTCTAATAATCCACTTTGATACTAATACACTTTCAGCAAAATGTTCAAGGGAAGAAAGTTGTTCCTCTTAACCAATTCCTGTTCAATTGTATATGAGATTTAATGGTAGAGGAAGTAAAAAATGAAGTTGATAGTCCTCATAATGAAAACCTTCAGAAAAAATCCTCCAGAGTGCAGCGGATCTTTTTCCCAAGGCTTTATTCTGAAAAGTATCCCTAACACCTCCAGAGTATTCTGTATGCATTATGCAAAAGCTGAGGATGAATTGGCAATGGAGAACAGTGCACAGTTGTTAATGAAAGGCAGATTTTACAAGCATTCCTGGAGACGCCTGTGTCTCTGCAAAATCAAGTATCAGACTTGGAGGGGACCACAGTCAGTTGTCCACTGCCAACTCAACCTATGCGCTCACTACTTCGGTGCATGTGACACTTTCAAATATATTTAACACTTGATAATCTCTGTATTTCAGCTACCTTGAATCACTATGATGACTTAAAGATGCCAACTTTGGTCTGTTGCAAGCTTCTCTGTACATGAATGAGTTCTCCAAGCAATGGTACAGTATTTAACAACAACACAAAGAAAACTAAAAGTCCAAGAACAACTCAAATCTATAATAGTCTCAAATTCTTCTACAAACACTGAAATAAACCTAATTTTGAGGGTCAATTAATATTGACTGAGAAATTGATTAAGTACTGACAGAGGAATTCCTAGAAAATGGGCTTCAATTAAACCAATGGATGGATATCCTGAGAAAATACAGAGCACAGACCCACGAATTGGAATTAATTTCTTTCATTGCAAGAAAGGTCTAAACCCCATGACACCAGCAAATTCATTTATGCACTACAAAGCCTAAGCTACCTATACAGTAACATTTAACAAAAGCTTCAGACTCCTAGTGGGTTTTCACCCTAAGATGACACATCTGTGGGATGGCCAGAATGGCATTACTTTTCCACTTTAAGTACGCTCTCAGAAAAACTGACTTCTACACAAAGCTACCCCTTCTATTTATGCTAAAGAACAAGAAAAAAAATTAATGTCTCTAGATGCCCCTTCAAGAAAGAGATAAAAAGCACTAAATAGTTATCAATTATGGGGGTTTTTATGTTGTCCAATATGCTTATTTTTTTGCATTAAGCAAAACTCTGATGTCTAATAAACACCACAGCCTCGCGAGAGAAAGTCTGTCTTCCTCAGAGAATATGTAACAAGTAGTTGGAAATCCTACCAAAGACTCCTATTTTCAGCTTCTGAAAGATTGATTGACTCCAGAGAGGTGCTAGAAATCTTTTAAAAATTGTTATTATTATAGAAAATAATTCTATATTAACACAGAACTGTTCTTTTGGTTATAATTCAGACTGTAGAATTTGCTAAACTATGTAGCCTAGATGCGAGAAAGTTAAAATCCCACTCTCCTGCAAAGGGTTCCCAAAAAGTTATCTGCTTATATGAAATGAACAAGATGTTCTGAGAGTAAACAGTTCACACTCGATATGGTAATCAGCCTACAATATCGCTTTTTGCCTTTTTTTATCTTAGGTGTAATTCTTCACAGATAAAGCACTTCTAATTTTACAGAGCAGATAAAAATCCTCTTCTTGTTTTGGCTAGATAAACACTTTTTTTTTTTTAACTATCAAAGTCTTAAAACTGATTTTATTGTATTCATTTCAGTTCTATATTTAATACCATTATGAAATTCCATTTTTCATTTACAATACACACAGTTAAAATAAAACAATAAAAGTGTCTTTTTCTGAAACGCACTGACTTGAAAAGAGATACAAGCAGTACACCAATACTAAAATAATCAGATTAAATGGCAGGCCTCAATTATAATTTCCACATAAACAGCACCTCTGTGTGTGAGAAGTATGCTCAAACAGCCCAGGGAAATACAGTTTTCTTGGTCTGTCTTGGATCAAGTTGGAGGTCCGTTAGCCAGTTTCTCCAAAACCGTCTCTCCCGTGAGTCTTCTGTTACACATTTATCACTAGACTTGGCCAAATTTGTGCACTGCATCCTGCTTTAGTGTCCAGCTGCACAGATGAACTGATGTCCAAGAGCACTGACATCCCAGCGGTAACTCTGCCTCCACCTCGCCTCTCCCTACAGCCCGTGTAGTCCCCCCACCTTGTCAGTTGGCAGCAGTATTTGTTTGGGGGGCTGAAGCATCATCTGGCATTCACAGTGCATGACTGAACGCTGGATGACTAGACACCAGCCTTTCATCAAAGCAGACCAAGTCACACAAGGAATGAATTCACCCATGAGCTTTACGCTCAGTTTACCCTGAGTTCAGCTAGCCTGTTCACTGTCACTCAACAAGAACGTAGAAGCAATGCTTTTCCACAGCCCTCAAGCAAAACACTGCCATGCCTTGCAGGATTCACACCGCTGTCATGGACCACAGGCACCAAACCAGGCAGTAACTTTCCCAAGTGGCCCAGAAGTGGATAATCACACCTGTGTTGGCTCCTACCCGGGGTTGCGAACCACTCCTTTCTAGGAGCACTAACAGTACTCTTATGTTTAAATTAAAATCCAGTTATACTGAACAGCCATGCTAGAGGCATCCCTTTGACTGTCTGAAGACATGTCCTTAGAAAGAGCTACACTGCTCTCCTTAAACTTCCCCCATTGTTCACAAGCAGGAAAGCAAATATCACTAAATGCTATCAGAAAGCAGGGAATACTTGGGAAAACCCCCAACATTTGTGTTATTCAGGCAACTAGTGTTTTCAAAACATACTTTGGAAAATATTAGCATCCCAAACAAAACTGGCCTTTAAATATATTTTCAAAGAAAAAGCTTTACAGTTATATACGATAGATTCTATCAAATACCACTAGGATACCGCGTACTGCCCACTCATGACATTTCTATTCTTAGCAGAGGAGTTCAAATTAAAATTAAGTGGATTTGCTGTAGTCAGTCTATAAGCAAGTTCCAATATAAACAGCAATTTCTTTCTTCTCACAGTACTTCTACTAGTCAAGGAGGGTTATCATTTCCTCAGTAAAAGCTGTTTCTTTATGTAAAGTACATTCTGTTCCCTGTTATGATTTGGAGTCCTTCAGCCCTTTATACTATTCAGTTTATCTTTTTTTAAAATGCATTTATTTAACTTTCATTTTAAATGAAGGAGTAAGAAAGGCTTATGATGATTTCCAAGTGTTGCTGAAGCATACTGTCAATGAAGCACACTGAGCTTAGACTTTATATGATGCTACTTGAGAACTCGCAAATTTAGAATTAATTTCATCTCAAAACTATACCCAGTAATGCCACTACTTCTTTTCATTGCAACCACGAGTACCTCTGAGTTACTTGGAAAACAGCAGCATATATTGCTTTTATAGACTCATACATACCTACAAACATATTGCCTATCATTTCAAAGAGTGAAAAGACTTCCAGGCTTAACTCCAAACTTCTAGAAAAGTGTTCCAGAAGTCAGAAGTATTTGGAATTCAAAATTGCACTACTTCCAGAAATAGGATTTTAAAATGTAATTAAAACATTACATTTTAATTGTGTAGTATCCATTATGTATGTATTATAAGTCATAAATTAAAAGATAAGAAAGTAATACAGAATATTCCCTAACACTCAAGGGGGGCAATATTGGAAGAAAAAGATCGCGTACACGCAGTAACAAAGGCTGGAACATGTCAGGTCTCATTTCATACTAAAGTGGTTTCAGCATAAATGGGAAGGGTTCAGTGAGGAGCATTAACCACTAACAGAATTAACCTGAGTAGCAAAATGTGCTATTTTCATCCCAATATTCCCTATGTTGTGAGTACTTACAGAAATCTGACAATACAAAAAAAGCAAAAAATATTGCTGAAAAAGAGGGAGAGAGATTACACATACAAAGCGGTTTTCCAGCATTTCCTATGGCTCATAATGCTGATTTCTAAAAGGGAATGTGCTAGGGACTTCCCGCCTCTGGGGGGAATTGGCATTGAACAGAGACAGTGCTTGGGAAAAAAAAAAAAAAAACTCAGACTGTTTAGTTAAATGGCTACTGCCCCATCAAAGCCAAACTGTGGGCTGTGTACACCAGTAACACTTGCAGCAACCAGTGTAGCTGCTAGGTAACCCCATGCAACAGAGCACTGACACCTCTGTGGTACTTCTGGCACAAAACGATTCTCACATTGCTGTCATCCAGCAAGACCACCATCCCTAACTATGACTCTGACTGCACAACGAATGCGAAGGAACAACGACTGCACGGATGTTTTAGTGCTGCTGATGAAAATGAAGATCTTTCGTGTAATATCTAAACCTGACCATGTTAACCAGTATGTATGTAGTGAAATAAAGCTTTTGTTGTAGCACTACATAACATCTGAACAGAGGAAGGGTATTGAGGCAGGAGAGGTAATTTGCCTGAAGTCATGTCAGAAAGTGGGAAGGGGCAGGAACAATGTC